CTAGGGAAAATGATGAACAACATAGACTGATGAATAAGAACGGACAGGGAAGCATGGATCAGACTGTCAGACCTCAGAGGGAAGGTAGGGGAGGGTGGGGATAGGGAGGAAAGATCAACCAAAGGACTTATATGCATGCATATGAGCCTAACCAGTGGTCAGGGACAACAGATGGTGGGAGCATTCATGGGGAGGGGTTTGGGATGGGAATGAGGAGATGAAGACAAATATGTGATACCTTAATCCAGCGTTTTTCAACCGCTGTTCCGCGGCACACTAGTATGCCGCGAGATGTTGCCTGGTGTGCCGTAGGTGCAGACAAGACAAGAATTTTATAATTTTTCACTATTTTGTTTACTTAATATTTCATAATAAAGTAATTATAAAATACTTTCTTTGTGTTTATTTGATTCCTATTCAAGAGAATTACTTTATATATAGTCAATATAGGCACAGAGTTAAATTTTTTAACATTTTCTAATGGTGGTGTGCCTCGTGATTTTTTTCATGAAACAAGTGTGCCTTTGCCCAAAAAAGGTTGAAAAAGACTGCCTTAATCCATAAAGAAATTTTAAAAAATAATCCTATTTTTAAAGGAACTAAATAACTACCATTTTCTAAGAAAGTAAACTTCTAGGAGTTAGTGAGACTATGTTTAGATAAAGTTGTGTGTGCTGTGCCTTAGGCAGTTAATTACCAAAAACATTTATGGATATTCTGAAATCCTAAGATCTATCACATTCAAATAAATTGTGTAATATCTCAACTGAATAAAGATCATCACTCCTTTAAAATAAATTGAATGGGAATTCATTTATTAATCCTGGAACTTAACATTTAGCTTTCTATCCCTTTAATAAAGAGTACTGATTTATAAACTGTGACAAAGAAGGAACTGAAAAGCACCAAAATATATCTATCTTAAATGCTCACCAATATTCCATTATTGGCAACTTAACTCTCACAGTTAAGATACTTTTTCTCAGTGAAGCACAACACAGTTCCTGTCAATCTATTCATAATAGTTATTTTTAATATTAATACCAATCCACATGGCCTTGGAGTTGTTTTCTGAAAATATACAATTTTTAATTCCTGTCAATCTATTCATAATTGTTATTTTTAATATTTTATTTAATAACAGAGAAATAAAATTTTTAAAACCATCTGAAAAGTGAAAAAAATTACAAATCCAGAAGATAAACTGCAATTGAGAGTAGAAAATAAGAAACAGGCAATATAGATGAGAATCCAATACAAAGAGTGCAATGAAATAGAAAAACTTCCCTTCAGAAAAGTCACCTTTTGAGAACTTACCCTGTGTCTTTCCTCCTTCTCTTCAATTTTTCAAAAAATTAAAGGAAGCAGCTTTGGACTTAAGGCAAGAAAATACTATCAGTGAATCTCAAGGTTCATTTTAGTCTTACCAAAGAAGATCACACTGACAGCAGGTGACATTATAGAACAACAAATAAAAAGGTTACCAAAGCAGTGTTTGATTTTGGAGACACACTTCAATGTTCTAATAATTGAAGACATCATCCTCTGCTGACTTTTAAGGATATCAAGTGACAGAGTTCAGTGTTTGGGAAGTCTTCAGCTATTTAGAATAATTTCTTAGTGCTTTTCTCAAAAGTATACTGAATATGATCAGCCAGAGTCTGAAAATAAAGGTTTCTCTGGAGGGTATTCTGCCCAAGTGTGATATTTTCACAAGTGCAAGGTTACTGGACAAATTGTTAACTAATCCAAATATGGCATTTTCAATACATGCAGTATTGAGCCTCAAGGCAACACATAACTAAACTTGTATACTTGAGGAATCAGATGGAGAAGTGTGCAGAACCTGAGATCAATACATCTGCTTACAGAGTCTAGAATTTACTTACATAAGAGCTGACATTCTAAGTTAAGAGGCCACAAAACGTTAAAATTCAAGATCCCTGGCATCATCCTCTTTTCATAAGGGAAACCATTTCACATCATTTTGATATTTTTTTGAAGACATATGCCAGGACAATGTAATCATTTCCCCCTGCCCGCATAAAGGCATTATGTAATTTTAATGGTTTGAATTGTGTTACTTTATAAATAGGATTTTAAAATATTTAAATTAGAGCCAATCAGTTAAAATTATCAAAACCCACAAAGTAAATATTTTATTCATTTGTTATCTATATAGTGTATGGCTGGCTATTACTAAGAGATGTTTTTTTAAATAGAACAGTGAAATGTAGTCAATAGTGGAACAACTTCATATTTGAACTAAATAGTTCACTTTATTTCTGTCAGCATAAGTAGCTAGTGAAACTGGAGAACTGCAGCATCTCTGATTATTCAGAGCACTCTACCTTTGGTAAATTATCCTAGTAATTCCATTAGAGGTCTCTCTAATTTCTGGGGTCCATTAAACTTTTCTTGATTAAATGTCTACAGAAATTCCTTTGCCTGAAATCACTAGTTGATTTTATGTAAGATATCTAAACAGCCTATTAAATGTTAACTTTAAACTGTTTTCTAACTAAACCACTTTAATTTTATGCATAAAATAAAATACACAGAAAACCACTAAAATAAAACATTAGGTAGAAATTGAACATTACCTAGTGTTATCAGTTCAGTTCAGATAGACGAATCCAGATGTTGTCACTGTGTGCTGCCAAAGGACTCACAAATACTTAAGCTCAATTTCAATAACACTTGTGGCACTTTCAAGTCCCACTCCTTGTGCTCCCTTAAACTCTCAAATTTGTGTGCCAAATTCATGTTCTTGTAGACCAGGGAAAATTACATTTATTCTGCCTTAGATACTGATGCAGAGAAAGGCATCAGATGTCAGTCATCTCAAGTTGTCCAGTAAAGGTTCCTGTGTCTCTTGTGTCTTCTACTTTTATTTTCCCAAACCATTACAAGGTTTTAGGACAGAAATATGTCTGATTCCCAAAGGCATTAGACTGACACTCTGATACTCCTCTCTAAGAATGAGAAATAGAAATGAGAGTGATGTGACCCTACGTTTTGTGGGGCAACCCTCTATAATCCCCATAACACAAACACCAGAGGTGGGATGGGGTGGGGGTCAAAGGAGGAGGAGGGAAAGGTCCGGAGAAGAGACTCACCTCTCTGGCAAGTTTCTCGCTCAGGCAGAAAGTAATCAGGAGTAGCCACAACCTGAAACAGGATGGAGGATGAGTAACATGGGCTCTCTAAGGCTCCAGAGTCCCGCGTCTGTCCATAGACCCCCCCCCTTTTTTTTTCTGCTTGACCCCACTTTCTCTGTAGTGACAGAACTACAAATATGTATAGTCTCGGTTTGGCAAAATAGTGCAAAGTAGGAAAGAGGAAGGGAGGTCGGGCAGCAACAGCTCACCCACGGTGCATGCTTTCGGATCCTCCAGAGCAGGGTCCCAGGAGACTGCTAAGTGGCTCCGAAGCCCAGGCTCATCTGATGCTTGGAGGCTGCTTCCTTATTCAGAAGGACAGGGGAGGGGAGGGAAGTAGCTCACTTCGGGTAGAAACTAAATTCAGCTCCTAGATAAGAAGTGCCCTAAAGGGAAACATGCTCAGCATGCCCGCTGCAACTTGCCGCACTCAAAAGATAGTTCCCAGCACCAAGAGAGGAAGGAATGGAAGGGAAGGGGGCGGAGTTGTCTGCTGTCAATCATCCACCTTACCTTGGGCAGCTGGTAGTCTTTCTCATTTTGGGGAACGTCTATCACAACATTCCCACGCATTTCCACAGCTTCATGAACGGCTCATAGAGACCTATACTATAAGATATAAGCATTTATGCATCACACACTTCCATGAGCCACTGTTAACGGTTACAACGTAACACACATATAGATTAAGACACAGGACTTTTATGTAGACAAGTGGGCCCCAACATGTCCTTTCAGGTTTGCCCAATGTATACAACACTCATTCCAACCGATTTTATACTAAGCTTCTGGGAAATAGGGGTGGTGTTGGTGCTCCTGCTGATAGTTCCTGGAGTTGAAAATCTACCCTAAGCTGAGTAGAACATAAGGGTGAGTGGGACCCTCATGAAATAGCTCTAAAGCCTTGAAAGACTCTAAAATTATAAATTTTAGGATCTGAGATAACAGAAATGTTCTGAAAAATTCTTCAGTAAATCCCATAAGACCCTCCAAGAAGTCCACATCCAAGTATTTTCTGGACGTGTTAGTACTTAAAAAAAAAAATCTATGTACCAACATTAAAAAAATAATGCCCAGATATTTTTGGGAGACCTCTATACAACTGCCATTAACTCAATATAAATATTTCTAATTAGGTGTTTGTGTTATTTTTAAGGAAAATTGCCTGACAGCTACTAATTCTCTGTCCTAAGTCCCTCTGAAACACAACTATAATGAGTGAAAAACTTTCAGGCTAATTCAACATAACAGGTAAATATTATGGTGTTCATTGTAGCTAAATAAAAAATATGACTGTATTTCAATAAAATTCAACCATATAATAATTACTAATATTTACTGACCGTTCCCAAATGTCATATATAGCTCCCAGTAAAGTCTCATAAATATTGATATGTTCATTTTCTTAATTCCTTGATTATAAACATATATTTACTTATACAAATATATTTATAATATTTTCACATATTCTGTTGTATGTAGAAACTCTTCCCTGCGAAAGGATGGAAGAGAAAGAACACCAGCAGCTTAAGGAGCAGCAACCAAACTTTTTCTAATCATTAACTTTAAAAAGTTCCGTTCTCCATGAGATTCATCCGCTAAAAAAATAGTCCCAACTCAGGTCTATTTCTAATTGGCTTGGGTGCCCACACCAATGAGAGCTGAACTGGACAGGGAAAAGTAGTATCCACGGAAAGTGTAAGTGAACGAATAGAAAAGCTTCTCGGTTACACTCACAGTGGCCAGTTATCTGGTCTGGGAGTTTCCCTCCCCCAAATAACTGAGCTTCACTCCCTCGCAGGTTGCTGCTGCAGTCTAAAGCTGTGGCGGAGTGATCCTCAAATTCCCCAGAGTTGATGGGGAGGGGGAGTGCGGGGGAAGACAGGCAGGAAAGTAGATCTGTGGGATTTGCGTGAGGAAAAAGTTTGCAAGTCTGGACAGAAGGGAAAAGTACTCCCAAGAGACCAGTTTTGGGAACGGGAGGGGGGAGGAAAGAATAGCTTCTTCTTTTCCCCCCTCCACTCTATAAAAGCTTCTTTCTCCTCACCTAAGCTGACCTGCACAATTGGGGCACCCTCGCTCTCCCTCTCAGGCTCTATCTCTCATCCTATAAACCCTCAAGATTATGTCAATTGGTCAGAGCCAGCCAGGGATTTCGTGTGGGTGCTGAGGAGCTGCTGGAGCCGGAGAAGAATGAAACTTCGTGGAGTCAGCCTGGCAGTCGGCTTGTTCTTACTGGCCCTGAGTCTGTGGGGGCAGCCTGCAGAGGCTGCGGTAAGTCCTTTCTCCCCCCAACCCCCACCCTACCTCATCACCTCACTCTCATGCTGAAATCACTTTTTGTTCCGTTCCCTTCTTTTATCTTTAGCCATGGCTAGGGAATTCAAATTTGTCTTCACTTGTTTAAGAAGAAACATTTTTTAAATGTAACGCTGGTAACTCAAGCTTTCTGAAATTCAACGGAGAGGTGTAAGTGTTTAAAAATAGGGTTGGCTGCTGGCTTTCCTGCAGCTAGCTGCTCTGGGACTAGAGCAGAGCCCGGGGCAGATAACTCTGGCTAATAGATCACTAGGCTCTGGTAGGTATTTAAAACTTTTCCTCCCCACCATCAGCCCTGGGGTGTTTCCCAGCCTGCCTGCTGGCTAACCTTTTCACTGGTTGTACCCAACCCACTCACTCTAAACTTTGTCTATAGTTTGATATTTTGGCTTTTCTAATTTTGAGCTTCCATCAAAGTGTTACTGGTGCCCATGAAGTTTTCCCCCTTTCCTTAAGCAACTTGAATCTACCCTAAACTTTGGTCAGTAGAGCCTCTCTAGGGACTGTGTTTCCTCTTTGGCATCTTTTTTTTTTTTTTTTTTTTTTTTTTTGCAAATGCTCAGGTAAAATATCAGGAAGAATGAAGTGAAGAGGATGGCCTCAGGCTTCCAGGCTTCTGAGTATTTATTTTATTTTTTTAAAGTTCTGGGGTTTTGTTTGTTGTTTACTTTTTTTTTTTCAACTTACTAAGGCACTAGAACAAATTGAGAAATTGCCCATTACCTATTTAAAGGAAAAGTTACATTTTTTCCAAATGAGAGTGAGTGTTCTGATTAAAAGAGAGCAGAGGTGAATGCACGTGTGAAATGACAGAGCAAAAAGTTCCACTCTGTTTTAAGAATGTAGAATTTAAAACCTCTATAAATCTCCTAGAAGGGTATCTGGCTAGTCCCACTCACCATCCCTCTGGGTATGAGAGGCAGATGTAAGGAATGAATGGTTTTGCCAGAGCAAATGTTCTTCAGCCTAAAGCCCATCATCCTTAGTTTCACTTAACCTCTAAAGAGTTTAGAAAGTAAAATATCTCTGTAAGAATATTCAAGAAACTAATAAAAACAATTGCCTGGTGTGGAAAGTGGATGCTTTAGGAATAAAATGTTGAAGACAAAACGAATTAAGTATGCATCAAATTATTTAAAAGTTATATTTGAGTGATCATAATAAGTGGGTTTAAAAACACTTCAGTATGAGATCATGTTTAGGCCTTCACATGGTCGAGTGACTATCAATTCTTTATATGTTATAGTTTATCTGGGTCCACTTTTAAGTTAGCTATCTAGTTTCTCTATACACTCAGTCTGACACAGATAATATTGCCCTCCTTCTATCTTCCAGAAACTGTGTAGATAGGAAGGCTATCTTTCACGTTATTCCAAGTACATAATATAATTATAATAGCACATCTGTTAAAAAGCTATGTGTATAAATATTTTAAATTATATTTGCCATAATTTATTCTCCATCAAAGTAGATAGATGAGTTAAAATTAATTTTTTGCAGGGGTCCTCAAACTTTTTAAAGTGGGGGCCAGATCACGGTCCCTCAGAGAGCTGGAGGGCCGGACTATATGAACTACTAATTCCTACTGTAACACCTCGGCTGCACTCACTGCCCAAAAAACCTGGCGGGCCTGATCAGACTCCTCTGCGGGCCGCATGTGGCCCGCGGGCCATAGTTTGAAGACGCCTGATTTAGAGCATTTTAATGGAGAAAGGTTTAGTCACTTAATAGTGCTACAGCCTCTTGGATAAAAGTACAATTTTGTGGTTGAAAATAGTTATTTCTACAAACATCTTCTAGGTAGGTGCTAACTGCTTATGGCATTTGACCTGGGGCAAATATTTTATAGATATTTCATTAAATATTTAATTTTTTTCTTTTGACATTGCTGTTAATAAACGTGCCCAGATACCAAACATACATGCACATATAGAAATACTATACTTCAACTTATATTAAATCCAGTTGTATTAAAAATGTGATTTCTTTTTATGGTTGACAACACTTGGCAACAAGCCTATTTTCTTAGAACTTTTTAAGATTAAGTGTTTATGAAGAAATTACAGAAGACACCATGGAAGGGTTTTTCTTTTCCTTTTTTCCTCCAGGATGATTTTAAAAAAATATATTTTTATGGATTTCATAGAAGAAAGGAGAGAGATAGAAACACCAATGATGAGATAGAATAATTGACCAGCTGTCTCCTGCACACCCCCTACTAAGGATTGAGCCTGCAACCCAGGCATACACCCTGATCAAGAATCTAACTGTGACCTGGTTCGTAGGACAACACTCAACCACTGAGCAACACTGGCCAGGTTCCTTCTATATAGTTTTTAAAGAACATTTTATATTACATTTCTCTATCATTAGGGTATTATGCCTTTAATAAAACCAGGGGTTTGATTTTTCTGCTTCATGGACCAAAATCACAGTTAGATGAATGTTTTAATCATTTCAAAGATATGAATGGTATCTGCTCTCTATACTAGTGGCGGGACATTGGTGACCTTATCCAGCATAAACTGGATGGTAGTGGGCTGGTTGTTGATTGAAGTAGTCTAGTGTTGGAATTTTTATAACAGGAAGAGCAGTGCTACTTAAATTGTTTTAGTTTTTCAGTTAAGTGATTTCTTCATCTTTGAAGTCATGCCAAGTGGGGATGTCACAAATATGTGGAACATTTTTTTAGGTAGAGTATATATTAGGTAGAATAAAGTAATAAACTTCATTCTGAAAGGTTAGTAGTAAGTGAAAAAGGCAGCTTTAGGTTGGAAAAGTAATTTCTAGTGATGGAGATAACATATTATACTTGTACTGACTCACTGTCTTTATGTATGTGGCATCTCCCTTGTGATCAGAGGCAACAACTCAGTAAAGGTTGTAGTGTGGTTCAGGGCCACGGAACAGTTTTTCCTCTATGAAGTATACTGCTCAATAGAAATAATTTGTCAGTATTGTTATCATAACTTACATTTGTGAGTTTTTACTATGTGCCAGGCACTGTGCTAATATGCTGATATACATGACCATCTTTAATTTTCACAAAAGACCTATGAAATATATACCATTAATGTCCCCACTTTACAGATCAAGAAGCTACAGATCATAGAGGTTAATTTGCTGAAAATCACTTAGGTAATAAGTTGTAGAGCTGGGAATTTGAATCAAGGCAGTTTGATTCCAAATTCTTTACCCTTAACAACTGTCTCCTTTGTATGTACTGTCTCCTTTGTATGTACTCCATAGAGATTTATTTGCTGTTCAGAGTATTTGGATCTCCACCATTTTTTAATTTTTTTTATTTATTTTTTATTTTATTTTATTTTTTTTTTTAGTGAGGAAGGGAGAGATACTGGAGGTGAAATGGAAATGATAAAATGTGGATTACATCTCTTCCTGCTGATAATAGGAGAAGTGGCATGGTATAATGCAAATAGATGTGGGCTTAGAATAAAATGATCAGAGTTTGATCTCTATATGCATGCGTATATAGACAGATAATTTAAAAGCAAACTAAAGCAATTGCTCATTGCAGGTTATTTGATTGTATAAAATCACATATATAAAAGGTCAGATTTATAAAACAAATTTAATTTGTCATAGGTGATTGTTTTGAAGGATGATTTGCCTTATCACTTTTTAATTAGTTTTCATAATAAATTTAAGAATACTTTTCCGGTATATTTTTATTGTGATGAAACAGGGTATATTTGTTTAAGATGCCCAGTTCATTTTTGTTGTTTTTACAAATTTATCTACCCATCATATCCAATTCTATTCACTCAGCTATCTATATGTAGTTTTGTGCATATGTTTACATATCTATATATACCTATTCTGTGACTATGCAGGAGTGTTTACGTAATTTCTAATGTGTTTTTTTTTATGTCTGTATATACGACACATTAGACTCTTTACCTGAGTTAACTATGATAATTTGGTTAAAGTTATGTCTGCCAGGTTTGTCCATTGTAAAGACATTCCCCCTCCCCAAGGAGTTTTGGAATACATCTGAAATGGGAGCTCCTCTTGACCACCCTCCCCTACCCTTTTCCCAGCCCTTACCACATAGCTGCCCATAAGGCTTATATTTGTTTGTTTGTTTATATATTTATTGTCTAAAGTATTACATATGTCTCCTTTTCCCCCAACTTACCGCCCACCCCAAGCCATTCCCACCCCAGACAAGCCCCCACCACCCCAGTGTCTGTGTCCATTGGTTATGCTAATATGCAGGCATATAAGTGCTTTGGTTGCTCTCTAACCACCCCCCCCACTACCATTTGTCTCTGGATCTATTCTTGTTCATCAAATTATGTTGATCATTATATCCCACATATGAGTGAGATCATGTGATATTTATCTTTCTCTGACTGACTTATTTTAAAAAAAATAATAAATCTTTATTGTTCAAATTATTACAGTTGTTCCTCTTTTTTTCTCCCATAGCTCCCCTCTACCCAGTTGCCATCCCACCATCTGCCCTTACCTCCCCCCAACTGTCCTCATCCATAGGTGTACGATTTTTTTCCAGTCTCTTCCCACACCCCCACACCCCTTCCCCCAGAGAATTGTCAGTAAACTTTCTTTCTATGCCCCTGATTCTATTATATTCACCAGATTATTCTGTTCATCAGACTTTGAGTCCACTTGATTTTCAGATTCACTTGTTGATAGATATGTATTTCTTGTTCATAATTTTTATTTTTACCTTTTTCTTCTTCTTTCTCTTTTTAAAGAATACCTTTCAGCATTTCATATAATACCAGTTTGGTGTTGATGACTCCTTTAGCTTTTTCTTATCTGTGAAGCTCTTTATCTGACCTTCAATTCTAAATGATAGCTTTCCTGGGTAGGGTAATCTTGTTTGTAAGTTCTTGCTAAGCATCACTTTGAATATTTCTTGCCACTCCCTTCTGGCCTGCATAGTTTCTGTTGAGAAATCAGCTGAC